TATTTATTTATATCTTTTCCAAATAATTGTTATCGCCTACTGAACTTAAGTCGCAAGGTAAAACGTATGTAGGCTATGTGAAACGAGACTACAGGACAAAGTCTATATTTTTTTTTTTATATAGACCTATTGAACGCGAAAGTTTTAAAAGCATGTAAAAGAAATGTAAGCATTATGTGGACAACAATGTGACATTTACATTTCATTCAGGATTACAAAGACAAAGTTTAAATGTTTATTAGATATTCAGAGATTTGTTTAAATGATGTAACGTTAGATGCGCATTTGTGAATGTTGACGGTGAATGAGAAAGTATTTTAGGCTGATTGTTTGCCTTTTCTGTTACAAATAAGATAAAAGCAAACGCATTATTTTTTCACAAACAATGTACTTTATTTTATTACCACTTCTGTAGCCTCCAGTTCTGTCAAAGTATTAGATATGATGACTGACAGAGATGAGAGATCGTAAACTAATGAAGACGGAGAATATGAGAGCTCTGTGTGATCACTGATTAGACGCTGGTGTTCTTACTGCCGCCCGTCAAAATAAAAGTCTGCAGCGCCGTCAAAATTAAAGTCCTGCTTCCAACACATCGGTCGTTCAGAAATATTTGCGAAAATGCGTTTAAAAAGAACAATTTAATCAATTTAAACTAAATGTTGGTCTCAATATAGTGTTCCTTACAACTTACTTAAGATCCAGTGATCCATGGATATTGACATGCAGCCAGGAATCGTGTTGCCTGACATTTACGTTTGCCTGATTTTGACACCGGAGAAATAAAAGCAATATAATATTTTTTGGTCAGTGTTTTTTAAAAAACATCCAATAATGCAGAATATGCAATGATAAATATTTAGTTGATGATTTGTTAATATATCTAACAATACAAAATATATGGGTATGGTTATACACCTAAATTCAGCATATTGACACAACTGCAAATCCACCTTTCGCTGATTGGAGTCCAGTTATTTCTGTGAATTGCAGCGATCCATTTGCTCTTCTTTCTATAGCAGTCTGTAAAAATATACCTCTGATTTTTTTTGTCAAATCTAGTTGTCCAGTCAATCGCAAAGCTCTTTCCCACTTTATATGTGTGTTGTGTTTGTTTTTCGCGGCATTCATGCTGAAAACATGTACAGCCGCTCAGTCTTTTTGCCACTCACTGTGAGTAACTGCAGGCACTAAGGCCGACGGTGACGTCACGCGCATACCCTTTTATTTCTAACTCCAAACAATTAGCCACTGAACCAGCTGATAAAATCTTCTTCAAGGCTGTGCTGGTTGCATTTGAGGTACAGGTCATGAAGTTGACCTGATTTCGTTTGAAAAGGGTAAGCATTCACCTCGATAGAAGTCGTGTCTCCTTCATTGTGTATTTTTATATTTTGAATACATCCCTCCACTGCATAGTATAACCCCTTGTGCCTCAATCTGGAGGATATCGCGGCGGTATTGCTCCAAAGGTCACTGACACGCACGGTTATCCCTCTTCCCGTCATGGCGATCTGTCGCGCTGGTCGTGTTTGACCATTTGTTTGACCAAACCGTATTTTTTCAATCAGCTGTCAATTCAGCATGAGGGCAGTAGCATAGCATTAGTACATCAGCTCCACCCGCGTCCCGCCTCTTTGCCCATTTTAATTTATCCGGTAATGACGAGAGGTGACGCACTGCCAAGATGGCGATGGCCGGCCCCGCCCACTTTAGGCTTCAAAAACGCTCTTCAGAAACCTATGGGTGACGTCACGGACACTACGTCCATAATTTTTTACAGTCTATGGAGAAAATGTGCTCGTTTAAGAGGTTAAATATGGAGGTAAAGTGGAGTAAATGGTCATATTTTCTTCTATTGCACATTTAAGACTGCAAAATATGCCTATTTTCTTATTACAAATTATGCAAAGTCCCCCTGATTTTTGTTTTTTCAAAATACTCTATTTTCTGTTGAAGACTCATATAGGGAATGAATTTCATCCTGTGTTGTTTGTGTCACACATGCCTCATGCAACAAATAAAAAGGAAAAGTTGTCTCTACACTGCCCACCCCTGTACCACTGCTGTGTGCAGACTCTTCTGTAGGCCTTTGTGTACTCTTGTCAGAAATAACAGGCATAGGCACAAGTAGAAATCAATTAAAGCCATCAATTAAATTAAAGTACTTCCACAGTCATCTGAGAAGGTTTCTTCACTCTCCAGTGCAATGTGATTAATAACTCATGGCAAAATATTTTTACATTAACATAAGTTTATCAGTTTTTACTTTCACAAGACAAAGCAATTTATCATTACTCAAGATTTAACAGTTGAAATGACTAAACCCGCCAATTCGGATTATAGGTATATTTCATTTAATGCAGCAACAAATTATTTCACAGTATACAGAGATAAATTAAATCTCATTTCCCAGTAATGAAGGTGTTGCTGCTACTGGTCCCTGATGTGGGTCTGGAAGAGCTGAACCCAGGGATGCCCTTCACAACAGGGCAATTCACATTCAACCCAAGGGTCAGCTCTTCTGCCAGGGTCAGGAGCACCTTTTTCCTGGTTGCTTTTATAAACAGACAATCATTTATTTAACAGTGCCTTTTTAAAAGAGACTAGTAGGCCTATAAGGCCTAGTAAAATTACCATTAAGTAGAATATTTTTTGTACTTCACTTTCACCATGTTTATTATTATAGTGTGGTGACTCGACATTACAATGAACAAAGTAATTTTGAAATTATGAAAATAAAAATATAATGATAATAATAAGTTATTAAAACATCTAACATGGCCACCACAAACGCATTTAATTTGTCTTCTACTTTTGCCAGCACTCTCTCCTGGCTTTTGCACACTTTGAGGTGTTCCCTGGCGTTTTAATTAAAGACTGAAATTCGGCATAACCTTCCATTAAAAGCGCTTGCTCTGTTTAGGGAAAAACTGAGCGTGTTCTTTGGCCATACTGAACAGCCAATAGCAGCGTTGCTGATCACTATTTCTGCTATCGATACATGTCCCCTTTTAAACCCTAAAATTAAAGTCACCACCGTCAGAGGGAGTTTTATTTGTTTTAAAGGACTATGCTTAGAATATATTTCTTCAGTGCTGTTGAGTTATTAAAGTAAAGTCTCTTTTAAAGGGTACATATCATGTTTTTAAATCATTCATTTTTACATATAAATCATACCGTTGTGGTCTATATAAAACATAACTGCAATGCTTGGGTCTGAATTCCTCATTATTATAGCTCCACAAGCCCCTTTTCTACCCCTTTTCTGATGTGCGTCTTTGAGCGACCCGTTTCAAAGCGGCCCCTTTAAATAACAAGGAGATGCGTCATACCCCGCCCGCTCTCCAGGTCGATGAGTTCACGGTCCGTTCAACTCCCCACGTTCGGCCATTATTGTTGTAGTTTGATTAGAGATATACGATTATATACGATACCTTCAAAGAACATTTTTATTCACACGTTAATAAAATGTCAACAACAACAGAAGACTTGTCCTTCAAGCCTTACATATTCGAGCCAGAGCGAGCGAGTTGATAAAGACGACGACAAACCTGCAGACCTCTTCATATGGATGTATTGGTATGTAAGTTAACTGTTTTGTGTTATTAGTGAAAGTCGACTATTTCTCTTGTTAAAACAAGCACACTGACAAGATAAATGACTACGGTCTAATCTTACCACAAACAATCTGTATTGATAATATGATACGTTTAGAAAAGCAGCTAAATGACCATTGATGAAACTCAAGAACAATAATACTGCAACTGCAGACGTGTAACGTTACTTCAAAACAAAAACAAAGAAAGACAAAGGTACTGCTAAACCATGACCACCATGTGTTTTAAGAAAGTAAAGTACTTTATTTTTATTAACGATATTTACAGCTTATCGAAATGCTCTGTTCGTCATCTCCAAATAGATGGAATTAACCTCTCATTCAGACGTAGTCAATCGGCAAACCCCTCTGTATAACGTTACTGGCGGAGGTTGTTGAAGTGGAAATCCTTGAAGTGCTTCAGGTCACATCCAACAACCGAACATTCTGACTTGCCCTCTCGTAACTTCTGCATCATTGAGCTCGGACTACAAAATCGGAGCGAGAAATAATAATGGCGGATTGCTCGAAGTGTTGGGCCGGTAGCAGTGTCCTTATTTGGCAGTTCCACTGCAATATAAATAGTGTCAGGAAGTATATTGCCTAAAAAACGACTCGATTGGGACTACAGCTGGGTTATGGTACGTCACTAACGTCAGGTCTTCTGTGTTTGAGCTTCCCAAATGCTATTGTGTAAAACAAATGTGTATAAAGCAAAAAAATGTAGCAAATTATCATTCAGAAACAGATTTAGTAAGAGCCGTGTGTGGTGAGGTTCTGCTTGACTCTCTTCATCGCCGCTTTCTCGATCTGATTCTGCCTCAAACTAATACTGCAGTTTGACACCATTATTTACCTTATCTACATCTGGACCGGAGCTCACGACATGCACGTTTCACCTGTAAAGGTAATGGGCGTTAACCTTCCGGACAATGTGAACGACAGTTTAGCCAATCACAACAGCCCAAACTAACCAATCTGAGCCCACTGCCTGTTTCTGAGGGAGTGGTTTCATAGACTCAGGAAGTGAACCGCTCGTTCGAGGACCGAGGAGAGCGCGGCTGACAATAAAAGTGAAGTTTATGAAAAGAAAAACCACAAATACATGTTATATTGCACCCCATAAACACAATCATGCAAAGGAAAAAAAAGCAGTCAACCCCCCCTTTAATAAAATAAGTTTTAACGGATTAAACCTTGATGACACATTTAGATATTGAGTCACACATTATTATTATCTGTGCATCAATTATTATTATTATCTATTATCTAACTCAATATTATCTGTGCATTAATGCATATAAGGGCACCCGTATTGTAAAGTGTTAACATTTATTTATTTTGTGCAAAATAAAAAGAAGATAATCATACATTTATAATTGTCTCATTTGTCCGAGAAAAAAAAAATGATTGCGAACTAAATTTAAAATTAAGCCATTTTGACTTTGAATAAATACACAAGATCTATGCTTGATATTTATTGGCAAACATTATGCAAAATTAAGATGATGAACAGATGACAGTAAAAAACAGAGAGGAAAGTGTTCATTAAACATTGCAGTTCTGTGAAACAGTTTTCAGTGGAACTGGTTAAAGATATAGCAGAGCTTTAAAAGCTATCTTAAATCCTGGGAGTTGAAGAGACGTAGTCATGTGACAGGCATGTGTCCAGGTCATTGTAGAAGAGTCTTCAGAACTACTCCTCACCTCACACTGCAGAGACACACAATCAACAACAGGCAATGAGGGAATATACCGCTGAGTCTATAGAATATGAAATATACAATCTAGAATAAAATACTGAATTTTTCGCCAGATAGAAATGCACATTTGACTTTTTGAGAAAGGACACACTAGAGTAAATTTCCCTGGAATAAACGACAATAACGTTTGCAAGTTAACTTCTAATTTATGTAAGACACTGTTTAGATTCAAGATGAATGGGTTGCTCAATTCCTTTTTGAGTTTGATTTGGGTGCTCTTCGGTCCAAGGCAGAACATCTAAAAGACAGTATCCACCTCCCATGATTCATAGCGGGTTCAACTGAATAAATGGTTTTCTACTTCCTGTTGAAGTATTTGTTTACATAGAATGCTAGCACTCTAGTCCAGGCCACTCATCTATAAAATGATATATTATATAAATCAGCGGTCCAGACATTAGAAAAATATCAGTCTACACATGCGTTTTATATTCACGGACATGACCGTTATGAACGCGACTTTAAAACTTTTACAGAGATCTTAAACAGAAACCACAAAAAAACCTTTCTTTAAAGTGAATTATTAGTTTTTATTAACAGTATCTTAATTTCAATCAATGTTTCATCAACCAATTGCTTGGTTTTAATAAATAAGAAGTATATAGGGAGCGCCGAGCGCGGGCGGTAATGCACTCTGTGTAATAAAGCGTTGAGTGATGTAGCCAATCACAGAAACATGTGTTGTTTTCTTGAACGCAATGGCCAATCACAAGCATTTACGATAGACTTCCCTCACTGCTCAAAACGGACGTTTTGTTCAGTGCTGAATTCTGTATGCTGGCAAATCCTTTAATTAAAACAAACAAAGTATATAAATTATGAAAGCTTCATTGATAACAGATGTGTGAGATCGCGATGAACTATCAGCTTTTTAAGCCAAGTTCACACTACAGGATTTTAAGCCTGATTTAAGCCCGATTTGCAAATCGTTGAGCTCGCCGACAGGTCAGGGTGTTATCGCGTGCAAATCGCGGGGGATTAGCGGGGATGAACGCTCGCCAATCTGTTAGTATGAAAGAGCCAACAACGCAGCAAAGACGTTCATAGACGCCTCGCAGACACGTCGCCGAGCCCAGAAAAATATCTAGCCTGCTAGATATCCAGAGTCGCCGCGTGACTCAACCTCAGTGATGTCATGAGCTACAGCCAATCATAGCAACGCATGGGTTGAGGTAACCTTTTTTTCTCAGAGCAAATCATCGCGCAAACAGTGTGCAGCACTAATTTCTGTCTGACGTCCATATTGATCCTGATTTCACTGAGAGCAAATCATGTAGTGTGAACCACACAGGCCAGCCCGACATTTTAAAATCATGTAGTGTGAACAAGGCTTTAGGAATTATTAACGGAGTGCACACACACAGTCATGCCACACCATTCACGCAGGAGCTGCTTGCTTTTATGTTGTAACAATGATTTGTGTTAATGCCTTAATAACAAATAATTTATCAGGAGCAGTTATGCTGTTGTGTATGGTGGCGACACATAGGCTAACTTGAAAGTATTTGGAGGTACAGGAAAAAAGTCTTTTTGCAGGCAGGAGCGGGACGAAACATAAATGTTGCAGGCGGGAGAAAGTCATATAGAAATTCGAGAGCGTCAGTCACAACGACCCACGTTTTAAAAAAATAGCCGGGTTTAAATCATTTAAATGATTAGATTTGTTTTCTTAATTTCCATATAATATTTTGTGTTATGGGATCAAATCTCCTGGATATTGTGAGAACATACAAACTTTGGCATACAGTACTAATTTAGAATGCAATATCTTTCTTTTTTTTTTACAAGATGGGAAAAGTTGTATTAATTCTTTTTACTTGTGTTCATTTAATTTATTTTTATTTTAGAGCGTTTTAAGTGCTTCTTAATGATATTATATTTATTACACACAAGTTAATTTATTTATTTTTGTAACCCATCAGCCCTTTGTGTCTAAATAAAGTAAGTCCCAGAGTTAAATTTTTTTTTTGTAAAACTAGCCTGTGTGCGACTTGGTATGACTTGATGACCAAGTTGCAACTTGACTTGACTTGACAAAGAGTATAACTTGACCCTTACAACAGAATGACTTGACATGACTTTGACTTGAGACTTGCATTTATGACTTACTCCCACCTCTGCTGTTTAGAGCAGAATAATGTGAATAGAGAAACAATTCTCTGATAACCGAGGCACTCCTTAATTAAAATATCTTTATTCCAAAAATGACATGTCCTAAACGGACAAATTTAAAACGCCCACACGTAGTGGCATGGAGCCTTCTTCAGGGCCAATGTAATTATTGGCCCTGAAGAAGGCCAATAATTGTTATGTAAGACACTGATATTGATTTTTCAACAGGTTCTTATTGAACTAAACTAAAATTTAACTAAAGTTAAAATTCATTAGGACTAAACATTTCATTAATAATTCATGGGATATAAATCTTTTATCATTTTAAATCATTATCATTTGTTATACCCCTAATAAAATGCTACCATACAGTAGTTCTTGCACAACATCCTAAAGATCCTGAATACGTAGCGCAAGAAAGTTGCACACATAAGAGACAAAACAAGTGTCACGGGGTCTGGTGCAGGAGTGCAGGAGTGTAGGCAGAAGGAACGGGAGGAGTCCAGAGGAGTACGAAGATGCGGGTTTTTAATCAAAAATACAGGCAGGGAGACAGGGAAACAGGAGCAAATACCGGGTAACATTAAACATCGACCGACAAAGACAGACTGGATGAGAAGGAACTAAATACACAGAGGACTCAAACTAAATGGAGTGCAAACAGGTGAAAATGATGATGAACAGACGAGGAACAGGTGGCTGATGAGGGAGTGAGACAATGGCGCCACCAGGGGGTGGCCAGGGGTGGCCATGGCCACCCCTGGCCGACTCCTGGCCACCCCATTGGCCACCCCAATGGCCAGTATTAATTTTTGTAGCATCAGTTATGCATTTTATAAATAAGTCAAAAATATTCTTAAGTAAAAGAAGACGGGGAATTATGTGTCATGGCGTGCTTTTTAAGTGCCAAATGGTACACTGTTACAGCAGCTTTTTGATGTGTTTTTGCCACGTTTGGACAGGCAGGGATGCAAACAGCGCGCTTTTCGTCGCCTCCCGCTTTTTCACGTCAGTTTGGGTGACAAAGTCATCTGAAGTCATTCCATAGCTTTATGTGAGGGACATTAGTATATTTACATCATTAAAGTATACGGAAACTCGTTTTCCCTCCTCTGCGGCTGTCAATCATTCTCCATTCATATTCAAACAGCACGCGCGCCTCTTGGATGCACGGTAAAACGCTCTCCAATATGATATATTCACATTATAAATGCATGATCTGTAGATAAAAGGCTGTGTATTCGCATAAAATTACTTTATTTTCTTGGAGTTTGTTGCTGTTTTTAAACGACTCACTACCGTGTGCTTGTTACTGTTAGATCACACATATCACACGGATTATGAATCGGCATCAAACACAAAATAACTGTGAAACAAAGGAACAAATCGCACTAGGATTTGTGCGCTCAACATTTCTTCGATTTGTGACATGAGCTTTTAAATGCGCACTTATGCAGCGCAGTGCTGCTGCACACTGTGACTCCATGTTGCTTTGAGCACATCATTCTGCACCCGCTCTGTTTTTCATGTTATCATGGGTTTGCGCACTGAAATATTATTAAAAGCCAATATATTTTGTTATACCTAGCCTGCTCAATACATTTTAAATAAGCATAATTTAATCGTATATTATTTATTTGTAGTTTAGGCTATATATGCACTTCTGAATTCTTGACATTAATATATAAATATAAAATTGTGACATGAATGCCTGATTCAATTTTAAAAGAGAACTAATAGTAATTTGTTTTTATTAACATATTTAGATTTTATAAAATTACTGTGCAGATTTTTTCAAGAATTACTTTTTGCTGCTGATATATACACTCATTATACACTCATTAAGTTTATTAAAAATTCATAATACATTTATGTAATATTTAAAGGTGTTAACTGTATCTTACACTGCAAAATAATAACTTAAAAATGATTAAATTCATCACAATTATGTAAGTATCTGGAAATTTGCTGTGGGGCAAGGGCCCTTATATATATCATATAATATATATCATTATATACAATATAATACATATTAGTTGGGCCCTACTAATATCATTTGTAACATTAAATATTACACAGTAAACCAAAGTATATCAGTAGGAGTTTCCTTAAGTCTTTCTGATAGTTTTCTACAGGCTGGTTTACTACAACAGTAGAATACAATTCTGAAATTATGGTTTATACTGTAGTTTTGGTGTGCCACCCCAAGATTTTAACTGGCCCCATCTGGCCACCCCTATGAAAAATTTCTGGAGGCGCCACTGGAGTGAGATCAGGAGAGGAGACAAAAGGAGCCGGGGAAGCGTGGTGCAGATGACGGGACAAACAGGTGAAGACAAAGACTGTGACATCACTCCCCCCTCCCGGTAGGCGTGACCTCACGCCGTAACATCAGCGGGGAGGGGGGGTGGGCGCCCTGGAGGCTGTAGAGGACGTGGTCAGGAGCAGGAAGCCCCCCAGGGCGGAGCAGGATGAGGGCGAGGCCAGGGCGGAGCAGGATGAGGGCGAGGCCAGGGCGGAGCAGGATGAGGGCGAGGCCAGGGCGGAGCAGGATGAGGGCGAGGCCAGGGCGGAACAGGATGAGGGCGTGGCCAGGGCGGAGCAGGATGAGGGCGAGGCCAGGGCGGAGCAGGATGAGGGCGAGGCCAGGGCGGAGCAGGATGAGGGCGAGGCCAGGGCGGAGCAGACTGTGAGGACCCTTCGGGAGGCCACGGCGGTGAGAGCCCTTCGGGCGGCCACGGCGGTGAGAGCCCTTGAGGCGGCCGTGGCTGGGACACTGGGCCCCCCCCCCCCAAAAAATATTTGGGTTGAGTCCCCGGGTGAAGGGCAGATGGGGAG